TGGTGAGGGGCACAAATCCAGGGGCAAATAATTCGTCTGAAATCGATTCTCTATCAATAGATATTATATCAGGTAAGGAACGCAGTGTCAAAGAAAGGTGGGATGAAAGTCCATGACATTACATTCCGCCAACCAGTCGAAATACTCACTAGTTAGACAATCAAGTTTGATTTATTTGCCCTGAATTTGGTAATCTCGTTTACGAACATGAAGATAATAGGGTTTAGAAATATTAGGCCTAATTAGCGTAGGTTTCATGCTATTTTTCGTGTTAGAGACGTCTTTTGAGGGGGCGGGGAAGGGCATTACACTTTAATATAATACATTATTTAGAAAAAAAATGGGCGTCTAATTCAGAAGCTGTAAACAATATAGATAGACTATTAGCAATCTGATTAAAATACAGATCTATATTCGTTTCTTTTTTTTATATATTTTTGATGGCCTACACTACATGAAGATCCGAAAAGTTGTACTGGAAGGTCGTGTCATAGGTCGTACGAGCGGCTTTTGACCCTATGACGTCAGACATTGATTAATTAATCAATCAGCGTTGACGTTTCTAGTGGTTTACCCACAGTTCCGTACATGGTGCGCCAAGAACTCGCCGTAACAAACCGTTTCATTGGCTAATTCCTCACTGCAACCAAAACGCCGGTATTATAACAACTCTTCCGGATCCTAGCGTAGTAAAGAAAAGTAAAACGAAATTTTGAACTATAAAAACGAAACGAAATAGGATCTGTGTTTTAATCAGACTGGACTATTAGATACCTGCAGCTGAGAATTCAGCCTGCATTGTATTATCTACATGTACTTGTTAGTAAAAGTTCAATTCTATTTCTTCTTATCTACAATCTGCTTTCCATTTATATTTATCTTTGCCTTCTTAATTCACACAGAAATAAGTTCACAAGTATTCTAGTGGAATAATACGATATATACGTATTTGATATTTTTTCCAACTTACTAATTATAAAGTTCATGTAGTCATTTCATTAAATGAGTTATTAGGCTTACTATAATTATTTATCTTATTTATATTATTGAATACCCTAACTTCACTGAAGTAGCTCTTTAAAGCGGTAATACGCTTTAGTTGGAAGTTGGTGAGTAGAAGAAACGCTACTGTTCATGTAATATTTACCCCCTCCTCTCGGTACTGTAAAATTTACCATAGAATTAAAATGAATATGTGTTAGTCTCAAATTACTAAAGCATTAAATTGACAAGATGTTAACCCAATGCTTTCCTTTAGATAGGATGCTCTTCGTTCTACAGAATCGCACAGAGCAATTTATTTGAACCCGACACCACAGTGCTGCCGACTGTCTGGTAGCTTCGGCTTTTGAAGTTACCACCCTAGTTCGTTATAAATAGTGACATTAGATACACACTTTTCATCTTAGAAAAGTTTATAACGAACATATTTGTCTTACAGTTGTGTATTCGAAACACTCTGCATATTATCCGGCGTCTTTAATTTCACTAACTTTTACGTGAACAAATCGCAAGCATCTCCACATGCGAACTTTACAACAAAATGTATGCTAGTCCTGGTAACCCACACGAGGTGTTATTTCTGTAGACAGATAACATTGTTATTGTTATTCATAGAAAGGTATTATTTCAATAACCGGTGCATCTATTTGCAGAACGTGTTATGTGTATTTATATTTCTTTTATTTATACACCGACTCAACTTGGACTGCAACAATAATATCTTCTCATACATTATTACATAAGCATGAAGTGTGTTCAATCTAAAACATGGGTGTTCCTGTAAATAGTCGATTGATTAACCAAAACTATGGCTTAATATAATACAAACCCAAGTGTTCAATATCCCCTACAAGATGCACGACTAGATAACAACTGGTGAAAGAATATTTTATTGCAATATTTTTATTTCAGTTATGGTAACCTGGTGTACTAGATTAGATGAGCTAACGTTGTTCTAATGAACGGGTAAAAAATGATACATTGAAGCACTGTACATGGGTTGTTATAGGTGAAATATAACGGGTATTCTGATTTGTCAACCCCAAGTAGTCAAACGTTTGACCAAAGATTGAACAAGTTGGAAGCCTTCATCAGAAATAGCCTATATACTTACATATCAGACAGATTGGAAATGATCGCCATCAAAATTTATACAGTATACGACTCTTTTAGAGAGCTGGCATCGGTGCGAGCTAATTAAATTCTATTTTTTTTTTTGGAAGTATTAGCAATATAGGTGTTTGAAGTATATCTGGATAAAAAAATATCCCCTGTTTAGTGTAAATGGGTATATAAAATGAGTAAAAAGCATTATTATGTAAACAATGCATGCGCCCTCCAGCCAATGATTCAAGCCGCGTGATATGATGTAACTAGGGCCGGATTAACAACGGTGCATGGTGTGGCCCAGATGCCCCCCACACAAATCTCAGTTACAGAAAAAAGGATATAAGTGGCAGTGATGGGATCCTCCGAGGCCCGCCATCAAGGGCAAGGTAAAGTGACACCTTTTTGTCACAATACCTGAAAAGATTAAAAAATTATTTCAAAAACCAGAACAATGGCCCTTGGATACAAAAGTCTAATATAAAAAAAAATTACTCACAGACCATTTTTTTTATATTACCACTGGCCCTTTAAACTCATCTTGTGATCACCGAGGCGTAAATGTATGGTGAAAATATCGCAAAATGTCCAACAAACGCGGTTACATCTACAAGAATTATTTGAACTTTCTGACGTTACTTATCACACGCAACTATTGTCCCATGGTGTGTACAACAACCGTCAAGACTCGCTTTTTCAATTAACCTCTCTCTATTAATGTAATACGTATTTCGTTATGTTAGGTACATACTCGCATGTGCTTTAGCCGTTTTGGTATTTCGTCTCCATCTTCTTCTCCAGTGACCATCTGTTGACATATCACTGAAGCACGAATAATCGCCAGGTTGATCGAACCTCCCGACGGAATACAAATCGAGGGAAATCAATTATTTACATACCTATATATTTTTAAAAGCCCTAACCATTGCATTTTCTTTCTGATCACCCATTAAATACAATCCGTACTTCCGAAGACAGCGCAAATGACATTCACAGGCATTACTCCGCGTTCAGTGAGTTTTTTACTCAAGTTTATAATTTGCTTTAATATGTGTCATATTAAGTGGCATACTGTTTGACACAATTTTTGTCACTTTACCTTGTCCTTAAGTAAATTGGGTGGCCGAAAAGTTAACGCGTGCACATTTGATCAAAAGGTTCTCTCACTGCTAAAGACCCTTACGCGCTAGCGAATTATCGAAATAAATTTGAACCATGTGTTAGTCCCGAAATGACCAATTTTGTATCCAGAGGACATCAAACCTATTATTGTAATTCGATGACACATCAGCAATATGAAGGCTATTTGTGAACAATGTAGCACACAATGTTAAATGCAGTCACATTCATAACTTCGTGTACCTCATCATAGGGGCAATATGGTGTCATATTATCTTACCCTTATGCTAGAAAATATGCATACTCTGTCCAGATGGCAAGTGGTCTTTAATACCGATTACATAATCATCCAGTAGATCTATTCTTATTTATCTCAAGTGATGACTAAAATTTACCAGTTATCAACATGCAGGCATTGACATTATCTCTAACAGCTTGTTAAGACTTATCTACATGATAATATTATTACTCAACCAAATTTCACGATAAGACATTATCACGTCGTATAAGGTTTATTTACGCTTTCCCATATGATAACTCTTCTTATTTTCTTGGCCAGTCTCAAAGTGCAACAAGTTAAGGAATCGGTAAGTTTAGATATAGTGAAAATGTCAATTCGACTATAGGTTAAAAGTTGAGATAACAAAATAACCACTTACATGCACGTGTAAAATTGTACTAGTTGTACGTGTGCATGTCAAATGATAGTATAAATGTGGAGAGTAGAAGCTTTACATGCCCTTATCGCTCTCTTCTTAAAGAATTCAGTTATTATATACAGGACCCTATGTATGAAGCACTTAAAAAGAATACCCCCAACACCCCTAAATAAAAAGATTGGTTACCAGACAACGAAAAATATGCCCACAGCAGCTAAGTCGCCCAATAGTCCACAATGTTTGTCGCTACGGGAGCATTTTATCAGAAATAATTAAAATTCCTTACGGTGCAAAATATCTATATGTATGACGATAAATATTTTCTTTATGAACATAATATAAAAATCCGGAAACATTACAAAAAGTAGTACCAATGATAATCGTAGGATCTACTCCCTTCATTTATACTCACAGGAGTCAATTAGTTTGGTAACAGCCATATAGCTAAAATATATTTTCTGATGTGTTCTAGCAAGTCACGCTGCTTTTAGTTTTTTATGCTTGAAATTTGTTTTAGGTTTTGCGAAAGGAAGCAACATTTAACGGCAAGATAACATATGTTAGTACAATATAAATGTATATACAGAGACGGTTTAATGTTATTAAATTGAATAACTGTTCTAAACACTATTATACAATAATATGTTTCCAATTAATTGTCTTATATATTGGTAATTTTTCTAAACAATAGTTCTATAAAACAAACAATAGAGAGAAAAAATATAATTCTGTTTCACTTCAAACTGGCCACAAGGTAGCTAAAGTTTGAGCCGATTACTGAGTTAGCAATTGTCTATGTTTAAGGCGGATTGTGTGTATCAATGCACCCTTTGTTATGGTTAGATTTCTCAAATTACTGATATTACAACTTTCATCTCTCATATATTATTAGCGAAATGTTCTCAGAACTTGGTAAGACATCAAAACGGAGTGGGTTTGTGGGTGTAAAATACTATATTAGTTATAACGATCAGAATCACAGACAAGCAAATAAAAAATAATATATGATAGTTCTGGTACATAACAATCAGATCAAAATAATAATTTCTTACTAGTACGTGACGTATTTAAAGGTTATCGTCTGACCTTTGCCAATACTATAAATAATATTACCCGCGATGTAAGTAGGCGTTACAATCCTCTTCAAACCCTCTTCTAAAATTCAAGCCCAAACCATGGATCCAGTTAGCTTTAAGTACTAGTAGTGACAGATTATGGTTACCTTTTCTAGAACACTTGGTATAATATGTGCCAATACTAATATGAATAAACAAATACATGTATTAGTATTTTAATATTACAATTTTCCTGTTATATAAAGCAAATCTAAAACAAATTATCGTCATTCATATCACCACGTTTTGGCAAAGAGTCTGGATTTCTAGAATGTTTTCTTTCATGTTTATATGCATGTAGGTTTGACATGGCAGTTCGTTAAACTTGTTTATGAACCGATGAAACAAATATTGAAAACGTTCATTTTCTAAAAACAGAAAAAAAATAAAGTTTGTTTAACTTTGTTTTGAAAAGTAAAGCATTGAACTTTACAAAAACGACTGACGTGAATCTACCAGTATTACCTGACCTGAGCTTCATGGTCATGATCACTTTAGCTTAGGTTTAAGCAGTCAGTTTTTAGTATGTGCGCATCCAAGCTGGGAGAAAAAAACGCAATGGCGATAAAAATCAGAATGTACACAGCCAAACTGGGAGAAAAGTGACAAGCGTGCTCAATAACAACCAGCGGTATAACAAGCAACATAGGCAGTTTTTTCAGAGTGGCCAATCACAACCACATCGACCACCATCCCAGCCACCACCTCCCCAATACGAGAAGGACGTTCAGCGTCACTTAAGGAACGTCCACACAATATCCAGTTCCCAGAACCAGTACACCCAAAACTCATAAATGTATCATCCGTAGTTCTAAATCATTACGAGATAAACCTTCAACCAAAGGACTAAAATTCACACCTACGCCCAAAGCTAATATACAGGAATTAGAGTGGGATATCGACGCCTTCTGTAGGAAACTACGACTAAAGGGATTTTTCAGTGATAGGGAAGATATTGCGCCAAAGGATATTGTGAGGAACAAAAGTCACTTTAACCCCAGGTGGGGTAAGGACGTGACGCTGGACAATGTCATCGACTATTTAACCAAGTTGTCACTACTCCCTATAAACGGCAATGCAAAATCAAATGGGGGTGCCATTGTTATCATGAATGTGCAATATATTATGAGGGAAACGGGTGTATACAACCATAGATTCGAACCATGGGTGTGGAATATTATGAGAGAAACGTCCTTAAAATACTTGAAGACAAACGGGTGTATACAACTATAGATTCGAACCATGATAAAAGAACAATGGGATTAATAAATGGCTTAATTCAAGATCACAAAAACAAACTGACGGACAACGAACAGGATTATCTCCGAAAATTCGAGTATAAAACAAGTCAGTTTTATGGTCTTCCAAAAATGCATAAATCCAAGATGATCAAGGAATCTATTAAACGCCAAAATGTCGAATTCATCAGTGTTTTACAGCCAGACGACCTCCCATTCAGACTAATAATTGCCGTTTCGTGTTGCCCTACTAATATACTATCAAATCTTATTGATATCTTACTTAAACCTTTACGTGTCAAATGTAAAATCTGTTATTGGGGATGACATAGATTTTGTTAATAGATTGCCCCAAAATCTTAACGATGGCGACGTTTTCGTAACCATGGATGTTTGTAATACGTATGGCAACATTTCCAATGACCTATGCTTTCAGGCCATAGAATATTGGTTGGATAAACATCCTGAATGCAGTCATGAGAGAATTTCAAACAACTTCATCCTCAAAGCTATACGAATCATCCTGACTAACAACACTTTTGCATTTGGCGAAACAAACTACAGATTCTTGGTATAGCGATGGGTACCAAGGCGGCACCACAATTGAGTAATTTAACAATGGAATTTCTTGAGAACAAATTATACCCAATTGTAGAAATTGAACATGGCGTGGATTACAGATATTTAGAAAATCAGTTGAAACGATTTGCATTTAGATCTAAATATCAAATTCACAATTGAAACATACGATTTGCAAATCGCATTCTTAGACGTTCTAGTGAAACGAAGGGGAGAACGCGTTATAACGGATATGTATTCTAAAGAAACAGATACCAAATTACCTTTCTTATAAATCATTTCACCCACGCCATACCAAAAATAATATACCTTTTTCTTTAGCTAGAAAAATATGCACCATTGTGATAGATGAAGACCTTCGGATTGTCAGATTAGGTGACCTAAAAAGAAATTTATTGAAACAGCATTACCCCCTAGAGGTAATAGAAGTTGGGATCAATACGGCCTTTGTAATTGATACCCCAATATTGAGGGTTACTAAAGCAAAAAAACAATTCGGATAATATCATTGCCTTTATCGCTACTCATAACCCCCAACATGCCAACTTCTTTAAAACAGTGTACGAGAGCACGACACTCTTGGCCTCAAACGACAACCTCAGAAAGAAATTTCATAATGTTCAATTCATTATATCACAAAGACTGCCACCTAATCTGAAACGCCTCCTAACCAAAGCAAAATTCTATTCATCTATCACAAGGGCCGGTTTTATGTATCTAAATGCCCGGACCATATTACACCAAATAACAAATATGTCTTGACTTGCAATGGGTGTCAAAATTTCTACATCGGGGAGACGGGCACACATCAACGTGATAGAGTACGCAACCATCGACGTGATTGTAATATTAAAAATAGGCCTTTATTTGTAAATAAACATATCTTTAGATGTGCACAACACCTACAAGTAAAATTCCAAATGTTCCCTTTTTATAAAATGAAAGCCGATGACATCACGAAAAGGAAATTAATGGTAAACCATTTTATTAAAAAGTACGTTCTTCGACTTAATAGTCATTAATTTTCTTAAATCTATCCCAGTATTATCTTCCACTCATTGTTTCTAAATTGTGCCTATCTACAACAGATTAACACACTTGCGTGCATGTTTCCTATTAGTTACCGATATACTATGTAACCATAGACAAGGTTACTATGTAAATATGTATAAATACACTAAACTGTCTATCTTTATACAATGACATTATTTATGAATAGTCCCAAGACAGACAAAAAGTACTTTAAAATGTTGTTCAACCAGCGCTGAAATCAGTTTGTGTCGGCATACCTTTTATCTTTTCATCGTTTAACGTGAAAGTAGTGCATCTTTACGGTTGTGCTATATATTGTTTATAATTATATGTTATAATAAATGCCTGAAGGGCAACCCAGGTTGTGAAAACGTTAGCACAAATTATGTAGTTTCATTAAGCTTCTGAACGGCATTAAGGCCACTCTGTAGGTTATAAAAGTTAGTGGGCTTTTTCTATTAAGGATGACCATGGTCGACATCAATTATGCTCCTTTCTGTGATCTCGAAAATTACGCCCTCGCCATTTTAAAATTTTAAGCTTTTACAGAAAAAGTTTTTCTGTGGAATGTTTAAGATCTTGTTGGAATTGTTAAGTAGGGTTGTTTTTGTTCGTGGTGTTTAAACAGGGCCGGCGTAAGCAATTCTTGATTGTGCGGTGGGGGGAGCTACCGTCCTGGGACTTTAGGCGAGGGTCCAGCGACTGCCTAGGCCCCGGAGCTCCCGGGGGTCTAGATCGTCGGAGACGCTTTCTTAGCAATTCCTGGCTTTTAAAATTACTCAGCAATGAAGTTTTTTTTATGGTTTTTTTCAATCCCTTACCACGAAAGCACTGCAGCCGATGGTGATTCACCGTGATGTTGAACTGGACAAACATATACATAATATTACCAAGGTTGTGGACACTCTCGATGTCACAGCTTGTATCCGATTTTGATAAAACTTACAATGTATGTATATAACCGTAACTTCTTGGGTTATGGACCCTGATTGTACGAAAACTCGCATTTTTAGCTTATGGGCACCCTAGGGGTCACAATTTTTATTGATTGTAAAAACCGTTCAAATATTTCACAGTTACACCATTACGACTGAGTACACATTCAAAGGTTCAAATGGCCGCTCCCTTTTACTCAAATAATGTAAAAGCATATAATACCCAGGGCGACCATCGGATGTAAACTGTGGTCGCGACTACAGCCTGAACCAGCCCCCGACGCAAATGACCCGGACCATTAGCTCATGTCATTTGTTTCGCTTGCAATATTTTCTGCTATTGACTCATTTCTAAAACCATATTTTTGACGATGGGGATGAAGAAATGATTTTAAAACATTTTCTTACAACGCTGACTCCACCAGGGTTAAAGATGGGTTCCCGCGTACAAACTGGGTGATTTAATGGGATATATGGACTAAAAACATATTCAAACTAATTAATTTGTCATAATTATCTTTCAAATCCTTCTCAAACATTGTAATTGCGAAGGAATGCCCTGCTATTAAAATTCGATCAAACCAGGTCATGTTTACGTCACGTCTTGGAAATCAGAGGAGAATTCATTGCATACATAAGACGATGTTGTCTTTAATCCCTTACTATTTATTACAAATATCGAATCCTAATTAAATTCTCGGATTATCCACTACCCGCGTCTTTTTGTGTCATTTTTATCTCTACTTTCCATATATACCAAAATTGACATACTTTTATTGGAAATAACCATCCGATAAATACTTTTCTGGGAACCCATCTTTAACGGTTAACATGGATAAATTCACAAAGTTGTTTTTTTTTTGTCGTGGGACTATATATTCAAATAAGAAGATCTTATTCTGTCAAATTTATCGAAAAACTCGAATAAAAATAAAAGTTGTAAATAAACCATACCCTAACCCTCATTCTCTAATTTCCGGGTGTTACCATGGACCCTGAAATACTGTCCATGGTGTAAATAACGCATTGGCAATCGGCAATTTTATATTTTTCAGATAAATCTTTACACGTATCAGCCTTTTCAGCTATCCCTGAACTATCCCGACCGTGCTCTATCGCATGGTACGGCTGGGAGGTCACAATTTATTTCCGATTTCCGCTTATCGGACCGTAACTTTCTGCATTATGGACCGTGGCTGTACGAAAAATCACGTTTTTAACTTGTGGATCCTCTAGACGTAGCAATTTTTTTTTTATCTTATTTTCAAAATCGTTCAAATATATCACCGTTACACCATACTTAGGTTGAGTCC